GCTGGCCCCCCAGGCCTGGGTTAGGACGCCTAAAGCCATTCCCTTTCTGTCACATACAAGTAGTAAGTCCTCCCAGTAGGAAGCCTTAAAAGCTGGGACACTGAGTAAAACCTAGATTAACAGGATGGGGTCTCTTTTCTTTTAAGGGTAGTTTTCCTCTTGGGGTGGGGGCTTGTCCCTGCCTGCCTTTCTTCTGACTATCCTTCATTAAATTAAATACAGTAGATGGATAATAGCAAATAAAAGTATGAAATACTTAACTGAATGTATTGATTATATATGTTACAGTCAAGGACAATAAAGACCAAGAGTCAAAGAAGGCATTTCCTGTTTTGAAGTACATAAATTTATCACTAAATTCTACCCCTAAAACTAATAATACACTATATGTTAACAAAATAGAATTTAAATAAAAAATTAAAAAATAAAGTACATAACTTTAAACAAATCAACACCAAAAGTAACTTTATAATATTTTTTTAAAAAACCATATTTCTTCATTTCTAGGATGGCATCTTTTCATATTTCAATACAATAGGTAACATTCATCTTTGTACCAGGTACTGTTATAAAGTGCTTTAAATGTGTCGACATGTTGAATATGGATCATTTAGTGGGGTGGAAATATTTCATCTTCTCCCCACTAGGTTCTGTTAAACAATTGGTACAAACTGAAATTCTATGGCGTTTTAGGGTCCAGGAAGTATGGTATGTGTGGAAATACAGAGTGCTTTGATATATTTAAAAAATATAAAAATTACATTGATTAAATGTTCTTACCTCCTTAGCCTGGATTGCCAGGCCCTTGGTTCTGCTTTGTGAGGATCACTTGCTAGCCCCAAGACACCCATGGATCCCCTGTACCTTAACTATTCGGTCAAAGGCCACACTAGTTGCAAAACAGAAGAGTCTCTGTGTTGAGATTGTGAGGTAACCTCATCCAAAATTTTGCCTCATTCAGCAATCATTTACATACCTCTGCCTGTGGTTTTCTGCTGGGCCACGGAGGTGGTGCTGATATATTTACAAACAAGGTATGAACTATGTAAACCACCAGTGTAAAGTCAAAACACATGATTATATTGGGTGGGGCTCCTCAGGAACTGGCCTCTGAGATGGAGAGTTGCATGCTAAAACTTACTGGGGCATGCTTTTAGGAACACCTAAAAAGCCTTTGTATTCTTGCACTCACTGGATCTGTATAACCTCCAAGGGAGGGGTTGTCACCTTGGTCGAGGTGGTTATTTTTGGCTGAGGGCAATTCCTAAGGGAAGACTCAGCTTCAAGCTGTCAGCCGGCAACACTCCCAGCAGTTGGGGGAATAAGGACTTTGGTCCTGAAGGTGGGAGCCAGGTGGTACGCCACAGCATCATATGTTTACATGTTAATGTACACATACACACATAAATATATATGCAGGTATTTTAATATATATATACACACATGAATATATAGACACACATACATTCATGTGTATTTATACTTAGGAAAATTTAAAAAGCATAAATCAAGTAGATAAAACCACAGTGAAATGTGATATAGTAAACTGGGCAGATTTATTGAAATCATAGGCTATTATCACAATAGTACAGCGGTTCTCAGGATTGCCCCTTGATGTCTTTAATATAGTGATCAAATTCTCTGCAGACTAGATTATGGCAGAGAGCAGGAGAGTTTACATCCCATAAAGACTATGAAAGTGAAGTGTTGGCCTTGTCATAGAAAAGAGAACAGCTTTTGGTGCAAATTGGAATAGATAAAAAAGCATTTGCCATGTCAGTAGATGTATACCAGGTACCTAGGCTTGTGCTGATTTGCTGCAGTAAAGATAGAACTGCAGATGCAACTGGCTTACCATCTGATTAAGTTTACACCAATTCATAATAATTCTCTCAGATTCATCTGCTTCTGCATAGGCCAAACAGGTGAGTTGAATGGGGGAAATGATAGGATCATGACTGCTGCATCATCCACATCTTTTATGCTGGTACTAATTTTTACATCTCTCCAGGGATTTGGTATTGCTTTTGGTTTTCTGTCCTTAAGGGGATAAGCCTCCCTTTCAATCAAGGGGTCTGTGAACTGGCTGAGGTATGAAAACTGCTTGAGAAGGATGACTTTTCATTCTGATGGCTTGAGTCAGGTTTCAGGCAGCGGACCTAGTTTTGCCTGCTATAGAGATCAAGGAATATTTCAGAAGTCTGTCCATCTATATCATTCCTAGGGCCACCCAGGGCATTACTAAATATCCCTGTAGGTCAAGACCTTTGAGTCCTATGTTGCCCCTGCTGCTCACTGCAGTAAATGTGTCCACTCTGTCCCTGCCAATTAAGCAGTGTCACTTGGCCATCGCCATCCCAGGATCCCACTGTCATGGAAATCAGGGAGCAATTTCGATGGAAGCATCTTCCACCATCAAATCCAGCTACTACAGAGCTTTTCTGGTGTTCCCCTTACTAAAGTATTTTACAATGCCTTAGTATAGAGACAGTCATCTGGGCCTCCAGGGGTATATAGTTCAGGGCTGGGTATACACATAATACATAAAATCACTCCAACATTGCCATCTCCATGAACCTTTGGGTTTCGTCCTCTACATTATACCAGGGACATTTGGGCATCTCAGTCTCATTGAATATAGACCACCAATGGGTCTGAGTTTTAGCTAACCAATTAAACAAACCATTAGAGTCACTTTCAATGTATGAACTAACACGTTAAATCCAGGCTTTATGGTAAATCCACCCATATCAATAAATTTAGCCCAATCCTTTGCTCTTTATTTTGTTTGGAACTTGACCAAAAACTGTTCAGCCTTTCACAAAATCATGTCACCTCTGACAACACCAATATTGATATTTGAGTTGCTAATACAAAACATTTATATTGGTCTGTACTTACAGTTCTCTCATTCACAATGGTTCTACATACAGGTGTAAGCATCTTACTATTTATTTTGTCTTCTAATACAATTACAAATTATTTTCCTTTTATTTTTCCTTTATATGTAATTAGGAGATTATATTGATTTCTTGGGAAATTTGCATAGGTAGTTAATATTATCTATGAATTTCATTTCAGGACAGTAAGGGGAGTGTTAAAAATAGTAGTTATAAGAAGGAGGTGTGGGTCTGATAGGGTTGAGAACACCTCCCTCCTCCTTTTAAATTGGGCCCAAAGAAATTATATATAGGCATGGCCATGATAAGCCAAAGTGGATCTTGAGTGCATCTGCAGATTAAATAATTTATCACTCTTCTGAAAGATGGCTAAGTTTTCGTAGAGAATTCTGTGTCCTATTCAGTTTACTTACAAAGCCATGCAGGGTGATATTAGTAAATACAAATGCCAACAATGGTGGTGAAGAACTGCCTCCCATATACAACAAATGCGATCTGTTTTGTGTTTGAAGGAGGACTTGAGAAATATGTTCTGTCTCTGAGCATTACTGAAGATAGAGTGGAAGCCAGGAGCGTACTTTCTTAGCTCCCTTGTCTGTATGAGCTGCGTCACAATTCCATGGTTAGGTAATAAAGAGGAGGATGCTAAGCAAATGCTGCCACTCCCTTCTCCCTTTCCCACATGGAATCTTTGGAGACACTCTGAAAGGAGGAAAAGCCCACATTTGGTCTGTGAATGAATCAGGGGTAGGTATTTGGTCTTAACCCAGAACTCCAGCTCCGGTTTGCTGTTCAAGGCAGGTTTGCTTTGTGGCATGCCAGGGGCACAGGAGACTACCTGGGAGCAGTACCCCAACCCACTTGCCTACTTAACTCTTCTGCCTCCAGAATCTCAACTCTTTGTCACTTTCTCAGGGAAGCCTGCCCTCACCACCAGTCTGGGTCTGATTCCTTTGTCATGGATTTCCTTCAGAAGCACCCCCACCCCCATCCCTTATCAGTCTGTGATGACATTCATTAGTTATGACCTTGTGGTTTATGTAGGACACCCATTAAGACTAGGTATCTTCCCTGTTTATGCTCCCTGCCTTTCATACGGTGCCTAACTGGTATCTGATACAAAGTAGGCGCTCATTACACAACTGTTGAATGAATAAATGTTTGTTCCAAATTCCAGAAGTATCAACACTTGCTTCGACTGATGCATATTACCACTGTGTCTGTATCCCATGCTGTTTGATAGCTGAGTCTTCTATTTGTTGAAGAGCACGGTAACTGGATTTTGTTGAAATGAGTCAGGACTGGTGACAACACTCAAAAGCCCCATTAATTGAGGACTTCTAATTTAGGACTTCTTTTCTTCTCCAGTAACTGCAGCACCTCCCATCTCCTCAACTCAAAACCCAGTGTTTTAACTTAACGATGGAGTTTTGTGTGTGCCTAGCTGGAGAACGGGGTGGAGGGGCTAGAACCCCTGTCCCCCACCTCCCAAGTGTGACTTTCACTCGCTAAAGAATTAGCAGTGTGTCCAAGGCCTCCCCGCATTAAACAAAGAAAGCCCCAGAACCACAATCCCCGACCTAGGTGGGATAATTTGGGAGTGCTGGGCAATCTGGTTCCGGATGAGGGCGGGAGGTTGAGCAAAAGTGTGACTGACCGAATCTCGCAGGTGAAAGCTCAGGTTAAAGTTGGTGGCCTGTGAGTGACACCCCGAGGCTTGTGTCTGCAAGGGCTTGCTCATCAGGTTGGGTCCGTGTGTGTCCGTGTGTGAGATGGGGCTCGGGAGGGCCACGCTCAGCCCCGGGGCGGGGGTGGGGCGTCTCTCACCGCGAACGCCTTGGGGGCCGCAGGGCAGCGGGGCTGGCTCGCCTGGGCGCAGTGTGCAGGCGCCGAAAGCAGGCGGCAGTCTGGCCCCACCGCGCGTCGGGCGCGGGCGCAAGCGAGCTCGGGGGGCCGCGGGCTGCGAGGCCCGGTTGCGGGCGGCAGGAGGCAGCGTCGGCCCAGGCGGCGCGGCAGCGAGCGAGCCAGCGCGCGGTGATGTCAGTGGCGGCCCGGCTGGCAGCAGCCGGTACTTCCTGTATAAAGGCGGGCGGGCTCGGCTGCAAACCCCACTAGCCAGTGTCAGCCTCTCGGCGGGAGGAGGAGGCGGCGGAGGAGGAGCAGGGGGAGGGCTGTCAAATTCGGGAGCCAGATTTTTTTTCCCTTCCCCTGGCAATCCCTTCCGCTTCCCCGGCTCCTGGCGTGACATCTGCGGACCGGGGACCTGTATGTGTGTGCGCGCGAAGGAGCGGAAGAATGGCAGTGCTCAAACTCACCGACCAGGTAGGGGGCGGCGGCGCCGGCGGGCGGGACGCGCGGGCGCGGGGCGGCGCGGAGCCCCGGCGGGGGGATGGGGGCGCGGCGCGGAGAGCGCCCGCGAGCTGTTTACTCGCCGCGAGGAGGAGGAGTGTGTGCGGCCGCCGGCTGCTGCGAAAGCCGGCGGCTGGGGCTCTCTTCCCCTGCGCCGTCCCCGCCCTGGGCCGTCGGAACTGCGCGCTCCGCTGGGTGCCCGCGGCGCGCCCGAGGGCTGGGGAAGTGGTCGGCGGGCGGCGGGCGCAGCCGGGGCGCCGCTGTGCGCGGGTGTGCGCAGCTGAGCTCGGGTGTGCGTTGTCCGCGGGCCCGGACTGGGCAGGGGGAGGGGAGGCTCGAGGTGCTCCTCCGGCTCCTACCGTGCTGCGCAGCGTGGGCTCGGCCAGCGGGTGCCGGCCGCCGGAAGGAGGACGGGTGGATGGAGAGGGAGAAAGGATCGCAGCAGCCTGGGACCTTTCCCCGAGCCAAGCCGGAGACCAGCCCAGACCGCGGCTCTTGTGTGGTCGAGCTGTCTTTATCCTTTTGACATGACATTCTGACTTCCTCTTTAGTCGCCCAGAGGCTGTCTGTGCGTGGTGCGCGATGGGGACCCTTGGAGAAGGCGCTTTTGGTTCTGACCCGTCTCTCCCGGGAGGAGGTGAAGCCCCAGGGCTCCACTCACAGCAGTGGACCACCCTCTCTGTGCCTGTGTGGATCAGTTTTGTTGCTTTCCTGGCTGAGACACCGCACAGGGTAGCTTCGGAGTCCTGGTTTGGAGAAGTGAGGTTATTTGCTCCCTCGGTTGACAGTCCTTGCTGTAGGTCTTTGGAATGGAAACACCCCACCTTTGCAGACTTTGCTGCTCTTAGGATATTGACACCCACAGGCGGCCAACCAAGTTGCATGACCAAACTCTGCAGCTCCTTTCACGAAAAAAGGAAACAGCTTGCTTTTTCTCCTCCTGCTATTTACTCATGGACAGTGAAATGAACACTGTTTGGGGGTCCTGGTAGGCGCAGAGGCAGTCTTGACTTTGACACCCTATCAAACATACCATTCCTTGGTATGAAACATCTCCTACATCTCGAATGGGGTGAATCAGCTGCCTTGCTGTCCCCGGGTAGAATCCAGCCAGAACATCCTGCGATTTAGATTCAATCAAGCACCAGAATGATTTGCTCTCATATCTTTTAGATTCAAAATTTTGCTTTGTTTTCTCTAAGTATTTACAGGCTTTTTTGTTCTTTTCGTGGAGGAGAGATCACTGAATTAACATTCATCTTATCCTCAAATTTAGCAGGAAGAACAGCTGGTAATTGTGAGGAATCTGCTTGTTCCCGTTGGTTCCAGAGCATTTAAAAGTGTTTGTAAGTTGATATTAGGATTCTCTCCACCTTTTTTGACAACTGTTAGACATTTGCTTTTTTTTTTTTTTTTAATCTTCCAGTTTTAGTCGGTCCTGGTAATGCCATCCTCGCTGGCCCAAGTTACTGTACTTGCCTCTAATTCCTAAATCTTCAAAGTACAAAAAAAATGAATCTAATGGGCATTATTGTTATAATCACATACACCACAGAATTTCACATGGAATTTTAGTGTTGGAAGAGATGCTAAAGACAATCTTAGCCCAAATCCTTTATTTTTTTTAAATGCAGAACCTGAGATCTGAAGAAGTGAAGCACGTGGTCCTCAAGGACCACAGCTGTTGGCCTGTATTGCTGCTGAAACTCCTGCCTTCCAGGCTCTGTGCTTTTTGCTAGAGGTTGTAAGACACCTCCACCTTCTCATTGGATGTGTTGAAAGGGTTACAAGAAGGCATCCTCTCCTATATCAAGATCAACACTAGGGAAAAGTATATTTCTTGGTCTTAGAAAGGAAGTTGTTCTTCTTGACTTATCAGAGTAGGACTTTCAAAGCTGTTTGTCTTTTAAAATGTTTCTGACTACATCTCCTCCCTTCCCCAAAGAAGCTAGTATCGCTGTGGAGAAGAGTCATAGTCTGCATTTGGTTCCATCTCCAGATGCATAAAAGGGATCTAAGGAGTTCTGAGGTGCGGGAGCATCTAAGAATTGCCATCCTCTCTTGGGACAAGGCCAGACTGAAGCTGGATGAGGAGGCGGTCTGGGCTGGGTGGAGTTGTGAGCAACGAAGGTTTCTGTGTGGCTTTAGGTCCAGGAAATGTGTGGTCTTTCTTGCCTTATATAGTCTTACCTTTCAATTTGAAACTAAAATCTTAGATGCTGGTTCATAACCTCACCGGAGGCTTAAAAACCCTTTGCTTAAGTTCCTGCTACAAGAGTTTTGCTCCATCATTGTGGGTAGGGGGGCTGCCTGCTCGGGGTCACTGCCTCTGCCATAGAGTTTGTAGAAGAGTGCCTGACCCCCCCTTCAGCTGCTGGTGAAACAGTCCCTTGCCGGTTCCTCCATCACCTTTCAGTGCCCTATTTGTGAACTGATCCTTGATTTTTCGCGATGGCTCTTGGATTTTTAGCTTGATATCCCGATTTCCCTGACACATTCTTATTGTTGATACCCTGAATCACAAGCCATCTTGGTTTGTTTTTAAACCTGCCTAAAGGAAAGAATGTAAGAAGAGGACACTTCCGGTCCTGCTGAAGCCGGGGACAGGAGCTTGCTGGGTTGATGGCAGTCAGTGTGTCTATAGTCGGTCCCGCACCGGCATCTCGGTCGTGCATGAGGAGGGACCCTCTCTTCTGAACTCTGTTTTGGGATAGTTTAAAGAAGGAAGAGGCAAATGTAGTTTTTAGTTTGTTTTTTTTTTAATTAAGTTACCTTTTTTTTTTTTTTTTTTTACTGTGAGAGGGAACTGGAAGCTGTTGCTACAAACAAACTTAGCACTTAGCACTTCTGCATTTGTAACCGTGTCTCTTCTGTTTTCCTCTTCACACAGCACACATCATTTTTCTTGCGGTGATATGGGGACCAATCATCCTGGTTTGCCTAGAACTGAGAGGTTTCCCAAGATGTGGTACTTTCAGTGCTAAAGCTGGGAAAATTCTAGGCAAACCACGATGAGTTGGTCACCCTGTGCAGCATAGAACATACTCACCTATGTAATTAATATAATAATGTGATTATTTCCTCCTAGATGGACATTAGGAGGTTTCTCTAAATCTTTGATAAAGTGAGCTGATTTTAAATTTGAGAAAGTTCTTTTTCATACAAATGTAATGCATTTTAGCTCAAGATACCCATGAAACTCTTTGCAATTTGATTTGCGATTGAACTTTTGGGGGCTGCTCTTTATGTCTGGGTAAGGTACTCCAGTGATTTTAAGTGTCTGCTCCTATCTTCAGCCACCCTCCTCACCCCCCCAAAAAAGTTTTTCGGAGTTATGACACCAGAATGGTTAGTTCTTTTGGATCTTTGAAATGTTCACTGTTCTTACCAGAATTTGCTAGTGACAGCAGAATGTCACCTCCATCTCAAGGGCTGCCTGTAGACAAACTGTGTCAGCAGGTGGCCCTTTTCAGAGCCTCCTGCCTGGAGGCCTTCTGGCTAGGTGTCCCCTTGCCAAGTCCTAGCTCACACTTGAGTCACCCATCCCCTTTCCAAAGGCAGTGGCAAGCAGCTAGAAATCCTGTAACTCTGAAAGCAGGATTTCTAGCTCATAGTGTGGGACCTTGGGACATGTTGTGTATTTTATAGGGCTGCCCTCATCCTACCAGTGCTCCCAAGAGCACTGGGTTTATAGCAAACACGATGCTGCAGTCCTACCATCAGCAAAGAAGAAGGGAAGAGAAAGGCTTTATTCTTTGCACCCTTCTTTAGTTGTTTTGTGACCCAGGCACATGATTTGGGGAGTGCACTAGAGGGCTGGTGTTTCCTGGCAGAGACCTAGTAATGGCTTACATTTATCGTGATCTCTTGTATGTTGGGCCCTCTCTCTCAATCCTCTCAGCCTCACTAGGAGGTAGGTGTGATTCCTATTTTATAGATGGGAAAACAGGAATAGAGAGGCTAGTTGACTTGTTCAGGGTCATCCACCCACTAAGCGAGCACTGTGTCCTACCCTGGCAGTCTGATTGCACAGGTGGGGCTCTAACCACAAGGCTATACTTTCAATAGTTGAAAGGTCAGTGCAGTTGTAGGACCCATGGATGCCTGTAGATGCCTGCTCTTATTTACCAGGAAGCCATTGGGCGAGCTGCACCCCCACACTCCTCCAGGCTCTTGCTTTTAGGGCCAGACCAGTCCTGTCCCAGTCAGGAGCTGCTCTGAGGCCTCCGGTGTTGCCAGACGTGGCTTATCCTGTCCGCTTCTCCACCCCCCCACCCCCCCACCCCACTCCCTGTGCTGAAAGACCTGTTGATTGGTAGCTTGGGGATTTTTTTCTTAGTCATTAACAAATAAACTGTGATCACTGTAGAAAGATCAGAAAGCTGGATATGCAAAAGAAACAGTTAAAACCATCTGCAGTCTCTACTCAGGACTACTCCTGACGTCTTGATATAGAAGGAAACTTCTAGTAGCCAGGTAAAATCTTTAACCTTTCCACATGATGATATCGGTATCTTTCTCTTGACCACAAAGCTAACAACTATTCTGGCTGATTTTTCCAAATAAACTGAATTTATGTGTCTTTTAAATAAATGACTGGCTGCTGTAGTGTAAACCCAGCAGCACATACCTTTTCTTTTCTTTCTTTTTTTTTTAAGATTTCAACTTTTACTTCCTCTTTTTCTCTAAATAGTAAATATAAACTCCAAAAAGCACAATTGTTTGTGCCAGAAACAGGACTGAAACATTCTTTAAAAAGATTTCTATTTCAACAATATAACATGAGTTTCTAAAGGCCTAAGTATAACATGAAATAATTTAAAAAATAGCGAGGAGCTGGAGAGAAATAATGCTTTGGTTTTCAAACTTGGTAAGCTGTAGCTCTCCTTTTTTTATTTTCTTTTTTTAAATTTTTTTTCTTTTATTTCTTTTTTCTTTTTCTTTTGTCTTTCTTTCTTTCTTTTTTTTTTTTT